ACACACACACACACACACACACACACCCTAATCTCATACCTCTACTGTCCAGAGTTATAACAATTAATTAATAATAGCTTTGTAACTGTTGATATTCTGGTTACGGAGTCTTAGATGAGGTCTCTTGTTTTTCACAACAATACACAACACAGTCCACAGGAAAGTCTCTCAACCATGATGTCATGAGCAGTTGGGGTGAGATAGTTCCTTATTTGGGATGGGGACTCCTCTGTGCATTATAGAATCTCTGGGTCCCATTAGCAGCATCAGCGACCTCTGCTCTGTAGAAGCTATTAGCTCGCCCCACCCCAATCATGACAACTGTCCATGTCTCCGGATGTTGTCAGTAGCCAGTGTGGGGCAGAATCACCTTCACTGAAGAGCATAGCTCCAGCACCCTCTGTAGACAGGGGCTGGGTAGAGCAGACCAGGTATGAGGCCGACAGGTAAGGGGCAAGTGCTTGAGGGAGTAAACCGAGAAGACGTTAGAGGCCGACTTGTAGTCTGACCACTAGGCGGGGAAGCAGGCCAGGCTCTCACCTCGGGGAGGGAGCAGTATCTAAAGAGCTCCTTGTTTTCTTGGAAATCCTGGACCTTTGAAACCACTTTCTCATTCAGTTCACAGTCCAGTTTCGCGATGGCCACATCTCGCATTACTATCATCCCTGGTGTGGCCACCTCCTTCCTGCAGATCCTTTCGAACTCAGCTCTAGAAAGGAGATTTAGAAAGAATATCATTACGTAGACTCTGAGCACCTGCCTACCCCGCCCTGCTAAGAGGTTTGCAGACTCTGGGACAACCTCTCTGGTCTAGTAGAACGGTGCTCATTGATAATGCCTTCTCCCTGGGACCATCCATTACCTCAAAATACCCCACCCAGAGCAGACTGTGTGTGTGTGTGTGTGTGTGTGTGTGTGTGTGTGTTTGTGTGTGTGTGTCTAGACTGGTTGGCCACTGAGTGCTCCCTCCCCCTACAGTACTGCCATTCCTGACTTTTCAGAGCTCGGGTCTTTACCTACTGAGCCATCTCCCTAGCCTGGGGAGTGTTTCTTGATACGGTGGCATTGTAGTAACAGAGGTTGCACATCCCTCCCTTACCTGAAATGCTTGGGAACAAAGTGCTTTGGATTTCAGATTTTTACAAACTACTTGGATATTTACATATGTGCAATGTGATATCCCGGAGTTGGAATCCGGGTTTATAACAAAACTCACCTGTGTTTCCACCACAACTTACACCCAGGCCCACAGGCATTCTGTGTACTGTTTCTTGTGTATCTGCATTTTGACTTTGACCTTTCACATGAGGCTGCATGTGGGATCTGAGCTATTGCACCACGTCACCACCCAGGAGGTTTTAGACTTGGTAATGAAATCTATTTGCTGTTACAGGTTGAACATCCCTAACGGAAAACATATTTGAAAAGCAAACACCATGTAGCAACTCTGGAGCACCAAACCCTGGTCCCAGTGCTCTCCATCTACTTGACTTCATCTTGTTCCAACAGCAGCACTAGGACACCAGTAGGATCAAAATACCCCATTTTAAAAGTGGGGACACCAAGGCTTACGCGTGTCGCCACAGAACGTACCACGTTAGGGGTAGGACTAAGACTCAAGCCAGAGAGCCTGGCTCCGGGACTCACACTTCTGAAGTCTCTCAAACAAATCACATCTTTAAAAAGTATCTGCCCGTGGCTGGGGAGGAGGCTCGGTGAGTAAAACACCCGCGCAAATGTGAGTTTGACCCTGCAGAACCACACGAAGGTGGATGCGGTATTGTGGAGCTGTATTCCTTGGGTGGCTTCTCTGCTCAGAGGCAGGAGAATTACAGAAGCTCATAGGCCAGTGACAATGTAATGGCAGACAAAAGGCGTCTCAAACAAGGCGGAAGGAGAGAACAGACAGCAGGGTGGTCCTCTGACCTCCACTAGTGTGAGCTGGCACTAGCACCCATCAATTCCCAGACACACTCCTCTCGCAAACAAACTCTGAACTAATCTAACTTGTGTTACCATTACATTCATGTGATACATGGGTTTTGTTTGTTTGTTTGTTTGTTTTTGCAAAATCATAAATAGCAGCATTATACCGAAAACGTTCAATATCCTCATCAGATATTAGCTTTTTAATGACAAGAAATCCATTTTCTTCATAAAATTGTCTCTGCTCCAGGCTTAGGACATTATTATCCAAAGTATACCTAAGGAAGAAGAAAAAAACACCCAAGTAAGTTCCCACTTTAAATTACATGCTAATAGTATACCAGTGACCTGAAATACATTCACAGGGTGAGGGGGAGATAGCACTATGACTAGCCTGGAACTTGCTAGGTACATCAGGCTACCCTTGAACTCACAGAGATCGGCGTGCCTCTGCCTTCTGAGTACTGGGACCAAGGGTGTGTGCCACCACACCCAGCCTACAGTCATACTTTTAAATTCAATATTTCTATTTATATGGCTTTAACAAAGTAACCTAGAAAAGGTTAGAGTGTTAGTCCAAATCATTACATATAGTCACCAAAAAATGAGTATTACTGGAAAAAATATTAACCAAGGAATTATATCCATGTAATAGATGTTAAAAATGAATGGCAGAATAATGTGGACACACTTGTCATAATAGAATATGATTAAAGCCATATAAAACAACACACAGAGAAAGAAAGGGGGGGAAGAGGAGGTGAGGGGGCATGGAGATGTCACTCAGTGGCAGAGTAGTTGAAAGAAATTTTGTTTTCAAACAATGGTTGCCTTTCAGTCCTAATTCAAAATTCTGAATATTAAGTTTTTCCTAAGTGAATAAGAATTGTCTTTCAAACAGAGGATCGATACAATAAAGTACATATATCTTAGGACAGGGTCTCACTTTGCAGCACAGGCTGGCTTTTGTAAAGTCTGGGATTCCAAGCATGGACCGCCACACCCAGGCCATACATTTTAAACTGTCTAGTCAGTGCAATCTCAGAAGCAACCAAAGTAACAAAACTCTCATACACAGATCATAAGTTTACAAACCCAGATCAACCAGCCCACCCCTTAAGGTTTGCACTGCAGCTATATGCATGATGTTTATGAGAGTTGGACTTCCCCTTTTAAAACAAGGCAGCACGCATGCCAAGTTCTGGTTATAGTAATCTCGGCTGTTCAGGAGGCTGAGGCAGGCAGATCTTAAGCTCAAGACCTACCCAGTGAGACCTTGCTTCACAAAAATAAATAACCTATGGCCAGGCGGCGGTGGTGCACATCTTTAATCCTAGCACTTGGGAGGCAGAGGCAGACAGATCTCTGCAAGTTCAAGGCCAGCCTGGTCTAAAAAGTGAGTGTGAGTTCCAGGATAGCCAGGGCTGTTACACAGAGAAACCCTGTCTTGAAAACCCAAAAGAAAGAAAGAAATAACCTTACACACACACACACACACACACACACACACACACACACACACACACACAGACTCAAAATGCTAGCCAATGTGTGAACAAAACCAAAATAGAAGCTAAATTAAATGTGACATGAGGGGCTGGAGAGATGGCTCAGAGGTTAAGAGCATTGCCTGCTCTTCCAAAGATCCTGAGTTCAATTCCCAGCAACCACATGGTGGCTCACAACCATCTGTAATAGGGTTTGGTGCCCTCTTCTGGCCTGCAGACATACACACAGACAGAATATTGTATACATAATAAATCAATAAATATTTTAAAAAAATGTGACATGCAGTGCTTGTATTTTTCAGGGGTTAGATTATGTATTTTCTATATATTTTTTTAGAATACACAAAGAAAATTTAAGTTGGGCTCTCCAGAGTTCCCTGAAGCTATACCATTTAGAATGCTTTCTGAAAGCCACGTGTTTCTATAGTGAGTTCTAGCGAGGCAGGGTGCTGCATGTTACCTGGTTGTACAGAGGGCGTTCTGTCCCAGCTACCACTAGAAAGACGTTTACATACTGTCCTAGATAGGGTTACTACTGCTGAGCTGAAACACCATGGCCAGAAGCAACTTGGGGGAGGAAAGGGTTTATTTGGTTTACTCTTCCACATCACTGTTCATTATGGAAGGAACTCAGGGCCAAACCTCAAACAGGACAGGAACCTGGAGGCAGAAGCAGAGACCATGGAGGGGTGCTGCTTGTGAGGGCTTGCACAGCATGGCTTCCTCAGCATACTTTCTTAGAGAAACCAGGGGTGGCACTACCCACATCAATCACTAATTAACACAATACTCTACAGGCTTGCTAACAGCCCAACTTATGCAGTCATTACTCAACTGAGATTCTTAGATGACTACCCTATGACAAGTTATCAGAAAACTAGACAGAATGAGTACATAGCACGGTTTCAGGTTAAGATGAGATCTCCTTACTGGAATCGCTGAGGACAGCAACTGGCAGGGGAAGTGGCCGCTGATACAGGGTGAGCTACCTAGGTAAGGATTAAGGAAAACAAAGGAGCCAAGCTCGGTGCCTAACCCTAGCCGCCTGCCGTCCTTGGGCTGCCCCTGTCACTGTCACCACAGCCTCCAGTAGGGTCTGAAGACAGGAAGTCTGACCCCAGCTCGGCCACATCACTACCACTCAGAAGAGAACAGCCCATCCAGGGCTTTACCCCCCAGTCTCTACCTGTAGCTTCCCTCAGAGCCATTCCCAGGATTTCCTTCCGCTAACTACTGAGCAAATAAACCCCCAAGGTCACCCTGTAGGAGTCAGGAGAGAGGGGTGGGCTTAGGTACTTGCCTTTGGTGACTTCAGTCTAAACTGTTAAGAGTACGGCGGTCATTAGGGCACAAAAGTATGAGCTAAACTGCTGTAGAATATTACCTTAAGGTGTGTTACTTTTGTTTATGTTGCATTTGTTTAACTCTGTGAAGCTGTGTCACTGTGTCTGCCTAAAACACCTGCTGGTCTAATCAAGAGTTGAACGGCCAATAATGAGGCAGGAGAGAGGAGTAGGCAGGGCTGGCAGGCAAAGGGGATAAATATGAGGAGAAAATCTGGAAAAAAGGTTCTGGGAACAGGAGAGGAAGGAGAAAGATTCAGGGGCCAACCACCCAGCCACCCAGGCACAACCATACAACCAGACGTGGAGTAAGAAGGAAAGTAAAGGTATAGAGGAACAGAGAAAGGTAAAAGTCTTGAGGTCAAAGATAGATGGGATAATTTAAGAAAAGCTGGCAAGAAACAAGCCAGGCTAAGGTCAGGCATTCAGAAATAAGAATAAACCTCTGTGTGTGATTTATTTGGGAGCCGGGTGATGGGACCCCCAAAAAGCCAAAAGAGGAAAAGAGCAAAAACAACCAACTATACTAAACAGTCAAGTAAATTTTCAAATACAAAAGGCTACAAATTCGTTCGTAAGATCTGACTTCACAGGATCTACAGATTAGTGACAGCCTTTTTTCTCCTCCTTTAGCATTTAAGGCTGCTCTCAGAGTGTCACTTCTACCCAGACAGGAGGGCACACATCTTGAGTTCCAGCACCTGGGAGGCAGAGGCAGAGGCTGGTTTTGAGGAGTTTGAGACCAGTTTGGTCTACATAGTGAGTTTTAGGCTGGTCAAGGGTATGTAGTGAGACCCTGCCTCAAGCCAACAACCAACCCCACAGTGTCACCTCACATAAACATGTTTATCATTTAGTTTTGTTCATTTATTAAAGCAGGAAGTTGGTTTATAGTCAGCTGGCCTCAGCCTCCTTCCTGCCTTAACCTCCCAAATACTGGGGTTACAAGTAGACATTACCATGCCTGGGTTGGTTGTTAGCCTTTCCCTCCCCCGCCCTTTGACTTTTTGAGATAGAGTTAACAGGTGCTGGCTTCTGTCAGGATTAAAGGTCTAATTTTTTTCTTTTTTAAAATTATTTTATGTTCATTGGTGTTTTGCCTGCAAGTATGTCTGTGTGGGGGTGTCAGGTCCCCTAGGACCAAATTTACAGACCGCTGTGAGCTGCCACTGTGGGTGCTGGTAACTGATCCCAGGTCCATCAGGAAGAGTAGTCAGTGTTCTTAACCACCGCGTCATCTCTCCAGCCCAGTCTCTTGGCCCCTCACCACTGTTTCTACAGTTTGGTTCCTGTTCTTGGAGAAATGTTTAATGACGCTGCGCTGTATAGTAAGTGAAAAGTGGACGCAAAAAGCCATGACCACAGTTTAATTCCAATTATATAAATACAGAACATTCCATTTTCCCTAATCCACACTTCTTAGAAGTAAATTAAGGCTGGGGGAAAAGTGCCACAATTTCCAGAAGTCTATGTAAGCAATATATTGACTATGGTTCTTGGCCAGCACTGTCCAATATCTAATACCAGCTGTTAGCCACATCTGGCTAATTAAATTGAAAACAGACTCAAGTTAAAAGTTCAGCACCTAGCCGAGCTTGGTGGGTCACACCTTTAATCCCAGCCCTTGAGAGGCATAGGCAGGAGGGTCTCTGTGAGTTCTAGGCCAATGTAGTCTATATAGCAAGTTCCAGTCAGCCAAAGCTACATAGTAAAATCCTGTCTCAAAACAAACAATCAAAGTAGCAAGAGACAGCACCAATTTTAGTTCAAATATATCTAGTGCCAGTATACCTGAAGTTCTCAAATTTTAACCTACAACCAATTGCCAAGAAGAAATAGACTGCGAGTCGGCGGTGGTGACACACTCCTTTAATCCCAGCACTTGGGAGGCGGAGGCAGGCGGATCTCTGTGAGTCTGAGACCAGCCTGGTTTACAAAGTGAGTTCCAGGACAGTCAACACTACACAGAGATTAGACTGTGGCATTCCACCCCCACATAACACGCAGGTCTAACAACTTCCATGCCGTGCTCAGGATGTCTATTCTCTCCCCATCAGTTTCTCAACGTAAAGAGAGGTTACATCAGCATCATGCGAGAGTACTGGCTGTCTCTACCAACCTGCAGACAAGAGTTTAAACTTGTGACAGGCCTGGCACACTGCTGCTTGTAATCCCAGCCACCCAGCAATTAGGGAAGGTCAAATTAACAGCTATGATAACCAGTCTCAGAGATGCCCGGTACCGAAGAAAAGAAATCAGAACTGGTGTAATCTGGTTGCCTATGGGGAAATCCCAGACAGTTAATTTTAGCAGTTTCCAAGGCGAGAACCCTGAATTGAGCAGCTAACAGTGTGTGTGTGTGTGTGTGTGTGTGTGTGTGTGTGTGTGTGTGTGCGCGCGCGCGCACACGCGCGCACCTGCTTGCAAGCCTTGGTTTAGTGTTTTGTTTATTTTATTTTGCTTTTGAGACATTGTCTCTCACTTTTACCCATTGGGTAGTCTGGCTGCCCATCAAACCTCAATGATTCTCAGGTCTGCACTTTCCAGATCATAAGCATTTTACCACCAGGTCTGGGATTTTTTTAAAAGTGGGTTTTGGGGATGAAACTCGGCACCTCAACTCACTTATTAAATGCTGGCTGAACCAGCACTTTATCGACTGAACGACTGGTCTCTTTCTGCGTCTCTCTGCCTTCCTTACACATCCTCTTAAGCTCTCGTTTCTTAAGACCAAGGAACTAGGCAAGTCGAGAAGATTCTGGGAACCAGTGCAGAACTCCGGAGACCTGCAGCACTAGGACCCGGCAGTAGCTCACAGCTCTGTGGAAACCGGGCAGGTGGAGAGGGGCTTCTACCTGCCGGGCAGAGTCCTGCACGCCCTCTCCTTCTCTTTTTGACAACTGGTGCCTCCCTGGTGACCACTGACGATCCCTGCCTCTGCCTGCCTTCGTCAGCCACGCAGCTCAGCACCTCTGTTTACAGTGCAACTGTCCTCGGCGTTTCTAGGTGTAGGGAAATACAGGGCAGAAAAATGCCAAGGCAGCTGAAAGTGGCAAAGTCCTCTTTGTAATGACGTCGCCACCTCTAGTTTTACACCTCTCGCTTTACACAAAGCAAGAAACCACCACGGCGCTAAGCAGGCAAAGAATGATGTGAGGACGCGCACCAGTCACCCAGGCCTGGCAAAATCTCACACACCCGCCGCCCGGACCAGGGTCCTCTGGGGATGGGGAGGAGGGGAGGGTGTCACCGAACACGGGAATGCAACCTCCTCCCCGCTCCCCCGGAGAGTGGGAACAGAGAAGAGTCGCCAGCGCAGTGACTCTCTGGCGTCCTTGGAGCCTCCACCAAGGTGGAGACGCTCTTTTCAGCCTGACACCTTCTTCCGCCCCACCCCGCAGCCCAAAGGATACAATCGCCGGGGCCGAGGGTCGGTTGAGGTGTCCCAGAACGATCTGCAGCCGGACTCCAGCTCGCTGAAAGTCCATGGTGGAGGTGACCAGACGAAGCTGCGGGGCCTGGGCCTCACTTATCTGGTCGCAAGGCCCCGCCTCCTGGGGGCGGAGGGTGGGGTGGCCCGGCTAGGGCTGGGTGCAGCGACACCTCCCACCTCTGACGCCCTCCTGGAAGGGAGGGTGCTGGGGTCAAGGGAGATTCCCGAGACCATCCGGGAGTCCACACTCAGGGCGCCGCGGTTTTTGTTCTAATCTGCAAGGATTCTCCCTGCGGCACCGAAACACGGAGGTCCTAGCGATTCGGGCGAGGTCTCCCGACGACCCGAGGCAGTTCTAAACCACACTTCAAGATTCGTAGTTTTAATCTATGTACAACCACTTTATGTGACTATTCCTCCCACAACGAACCAATAAAAATTAAAAACAATCTGTGCTATTCAAAAGAGAGATTTAACTTAGTGTGAATTCATACTCAGATATTAGAAAGTTTGGCCGTTAACTTTTAAGAGTGTATGGAGATCCACGCAGTCTAGTATAACTTACTATTGTTACATTTATTTATGTGTGTATATTTGCATCCTTGTTTGTGGAGATCAGAGAACAGTCTGTGGGGAAGTTGATTCTCTTCCTTCCACCACGTGGGTTTAGGAGATAGAACTTCAATGGTCAGGGTTGTTCGGCAAGCTACCTTAAACAGCCGTGTTATTTCACCAGCCCCTAGTACAGTATAATATTTAATGTTCTTTGTTTTGTTTTGTTTGTTTTGAGACAGGGTTTCTCTGGGTAACATTCCTAGCCGTCCTGGCACTTTGTAGACCAAGCTGGCCTCAGTTTCACTGAGAGATCTGACTACCTCTGCCTTCCAAGTGCTGGGATTAAAGGCATGCACCACCAACACCCGACTATTACATAAAATATCTTAAATAGCTAAAAACTCTTTTTCTAAAATCTCTTTGAAATTCACCCGCTACTCATAATCTCAATCTGTCTGATTTCTTTAGTGTAGAGCGTTCCTTATAGATTGCTTCTTCACACGCATGTTAAACGCTGTTTAAATGCTTTCATAATATAATTTGGTGACAGTGTCATAGTCCAGGAAAGACAAACAAGTAGCCACAGAGCTACTTCCGGTTTTCGGGTGGCAGAGACCGGTGCATTAGCCTGCCCTTTGGCCTTGACCTTTGGGACAAGATTCCTGTTTGCTGAAGCTCCCTTGGCCGGCTGATTCCTTTGTTAATTCCGAACTGGCTGAAACCTGACCCCGCGTCCTGTAAAAAACAAGCTTACTTGGGATTGGCTGTGTTTTTTCACTTGGGAAATCGGGTTCTTACTGCCCTCACCTGGTGTAAAGTGGGAACTGCAGGGAGAAGGAAGAAAAACCTGCAGTTGGTGTCGCCTTTAGAAGCTATTCTGAGGATGGGTGAATTCCCTAACCATAGGGGGCTCCAGACCAACCTGAGTTACATAACCTGACCCTGTTTCAAAAAAAAAAAAAAACAAAAACAAAAACAAAAACGAACAAAAGAAGGGAAACCTGCCACCAGATCACCTGGCCTGCATTCATATCTACTCTCAGAATTCTTCGATTTCGAGTTGATTACAGACAGCTCCTTATTCATGTAATGAGCATCTTTCTTTTCTTTTTTCCTTTTCAGACAGGGACTTAGGCCGCCCAGCTAGCCTCAAACTCTCTTGCAGCTAAGGCTGACATCGAACTGCCGACCCTCCTGCTTCCTCTCCCGAGCACTGGGGTTAGAGGCATGCCACAGCACACCGGGTTTCTTCCGCCGGAAATCGAACCCAGGAGCTCCTGCACACTGGGCAAGGCCTCCCACTGAAGTGCATCCCCACAGCGGTGAAATGAGATTCTCTTAGGTGTGCACAACTCTTGAACAATTTGATCTGGGGTGTTTTCAGTTTCTACTGGTTTTAGCTGCTTAAATAATAGCTATTTTAAAAGTCATTCTCTTTCATTTAGACATTTGGGAAAAACTGATAAAATTCGAAAGGTGTATTTTAAAAGTTGTCTATGTCACTTCCCAGCCATTTGGTAAAAACGGGTATACAGGTTGTTTTCAAACCAGCAAAGTGGGGTCATAGCCAGACTGTATATGTCCGAAGGCCTACTTCACACCAACACTGAGAAGTCTTTTCCCCTTCTCTTTGTCTTTGAGACAGGGTTTCTCTGTATAGTCCTGGCTGTCCTGGAACTTACTCTGCAGACCAGGCTGGCCTAGAACTCAGATCTATCTGCCTCTGCCTCTGCCTCCCAAGTGCTGGGATCAAAGGTGTGTGCCACCACAGCCCTTCCCTTCTTCACCACTGAGATTTCCAACACGTCAAAGGGAGACACTCTCTCTCCTTCAGAATTTTCTATGTAGACCAGGCTGGGTTTGAGCTCTAACCTTGCTCAACAAAAGATGCCACCCCTCCTGCAAGGTGTGTTCACCTCACAGACCCCAGCAAAGGGCAAAGCTGAGCTTCTTTGAAAAAGCAGGTCTTTGCAGAAGTGATCCAGAGCTTAGGGTGAGCTGTATAGTTTTGATAAACAACATCACAGATTTGTGATATCTTGTTTTTTTTTAATTTTTTATACTTTTTTCGTGTATGAGTGTTTTACCTGTGTGCATGTCTGTGCAATGTTGCTTGTTAACTAAACCTAATCTTACAACTTTACTAATAAAGACTCAGCAGTCAGATGCTGGGGTGAAAACCTGCCAGCTCAGAGGCTGAGGTGTAACTAGCTGACCTTCCTCCTTAGCCGGTGTCTCAGAAAGAGAGCTTCTCTTCTGCAAAAAGATTGCTAGACTCAAAGTCCCTCCTCACTACTTCCTGTGCCCCTCTCTATCCGTTTTCCTGACTCCCCGTTACTCTCTATGGTTACTCCCTGTCAATGAGCTGCTGACTCCACCTCTTGTCCTAGGTTGATTTTATTAATTAATGCGGTCTCAGCAGTGTGATCAAATATCCCACAGCAGTGCACCTTATGCTCTGTACACTCAGAGGCCAGAGGAGGGTGTGGGATCCTCAGAAACTGAAGTTACAGTTGTGAGCTACCATGTAGGTGCTGGGAATTGAACCTGGGTCCTCTAAAAGAGCAGCCAGTGCTCTTAACCACTGACCCATCTCTCTACCTTCACCCCTTCTGAGACCTTACCTTCTTGGAGCTCATGCTGGTCTTGAACTATGAAGCTGAAGATGACCTTGACCTCCTGATGTTCCCATTTCTACCTCCCAAATCCTGGGATTATAGACATGCACAATCATATCCACCACCATATCCAGCTTCAGGCTCATGTTTAATGCTTCATACCCAGAGAAGGCACCCTATTGTGAGGCTGTAGAAATAGATGGTGGTGTTTTGCTGTGGGGAAGAAGGTTATTGGGGCTGAGCCCTTGGAGGTATACTATCCCTGCTCCCTTCCTGTCCTGCTATCTACTTCAGGTCTGCCAAGAAGTGAACATCCTCCACCACAGGCTGCTACCACCACGGTACTCTGCATAAGTGCATGAGACCAAGCAACCACAGAAGCCAAAATGAATCTCTTCACCTTGGTTCCAGCGATGTAAAAATAAGGAACACATTCACCCTGGGGCCTTTGCATTTAGGTTACTGCATGGGCTCTAAAGTCAATGAAAAATCTCCCCAAAGTGACCCCGACACATCCTTTGCCCCACTCTCATCTTTTCTTCTATCTATCTATCTATCTATCTATCTATCTATCTATCTATCTACCTACCTATCTATCTATCTATCGTCTTTCGAGACAGTTTCTCTGTAGCTTTGGAGCCTGTCCTGGAACTTGCTCTGTAGACCAGGCTGTCCTCGAACTCAGAGATTCACCTGTTTCTGCCTCCCGAGTACTGGGATTAAAGGTGTGTGCCAGGGGGCTGGAGAGATGGCTCAGCGGTTAAGAGCATTGCCTGCTCTTCCAAAGGTCCTGAGTTCAATTCCCAGCAACCACATGGTGGCTCACAACCATCTGTAATGAGGTCTGGTGCCCTCTTCTGGCCTGCAGGCATACATGTAAACAGAATATGGTATACATAATAAATAAATATTTTTTAAAAAAATAAATAAAGGTGTATGCCACCACTGCCCTTAAATCTATTTTATGTGCATTGATTGGTGTGAAAGTATCAGATCCTCTGGCACTGGAATTACAGACAGTTGTGAGCTGCCAAGTGAGTGCTGGGAATTGAACCCGGGCCCCCTAGAAGAACAACCAGTGTGCTCTTAACCACTGGACAATCTCTCTGGCCTCCCATCTTTTCTTTTAAAACAGATTAATTTATTATTTTTTAAATTTATTATTTTCTGGTACATGCGTGCCAGAAAATAATAAACTCCAGTTATAGCGGCTGTGAACTACCTAAGGTGGATGTTGGAAACTGAACTCAGGTCCTCTACAAGAGTACAGGTTCTTAACCACAGAACCATCTCTCCAGCCCCAACCCACCCATTTAATGACAGCTACTGAGCTACAGTATTCTGTAGCAAAGGAAGAATCTAGGGGTTGGCAGATGATACACTCACACTTCACATTTATCTCCTCTTCTGTAGACCCGAGTCACATTTCACCTTCTGTCCCATAAAAACCAGTCTTTTAAGAACAATTTAAGAAAAGCCAGATAGTGACATTCCTGCATTGTTGTGGCCGAACAAGCATCCTACAAATTAAGGGACAAAGAAACTTCTTTCCTCCAAACTTGAGTCTGACATCAGCTATAGTTAAGCCTTGTCTGAAGAATGAGAAGTTAAAGGAGATTTTTAATCTTTCGGCCTAAACTAGAAACTAAAAGCTACTCATGTATGAATCTGGAAGATGAAAGAATGACATTGTTACTTGTGGGATTATTTGGGTTGAGGCAGACCAAGAAAACCAGGGCAAATGGCTGAGCAAGCAATGAAGTGCAGTCAGCTGGCACAGAACTTCTCAGTTATCACGTGTCCTGTACGGACAGTTGTTTAGGAAGCACGGGGGCAGTAGAAAGAGCGGAGCAATGATCACGTGAGCAGTGGGCTCTCAAACTAGAACTAGCGGCAGGGAAGAAGGTGTGATCACCTGACGATAAAACCTGAGTGGGTGAGAGCGTACACGAGCAGGAGGCTGGAATCGGAGGGCCGGCTTTAATCTGGCACGACATTTTGTGTCTTTGGCTCAAATTAACTAGGTTTTTTGTTTTTTTTGTTTTTTTTGTTTTTTGGTGGTACCAGGGATCAATCAAACCCAGGGCCGCATGCATACAAGGCTAACACTGTATTCTTGAGCTACCAACCTTAACCCCTGTTCTACTTCTAAGGTGCCTGTCCAAACAAGAAGACCCAGCCAGTGTTACTGGAAAAATCTCTTCCCTTCATGACCCATCGTGTGTACTTTTTTCTTAGCATTAGCCACATGAACTTGCATTGTTCATTAGACATAAATACATCTGTACCTGGGGATGCAGATGCACACCTGTAATCTCAGCACTCGAGGCTGATCTAAAGGGTGAGTACCAGGACTACGCAGAGAAACTGTCTTGAAAAACAAACAACAAAACGAGATAAACAAAAAACAAAAAGAGAAGAAGGAAAGAAAAGAATACATCCCAACACTGGGAAGTCAGCCTCCATGTCAGTGAAAACTCGTCTCTAAAAAAGAAAAGGGGCAGGGGAGAGGCGGGGCTCTGTCCAGAAATGGACGCATTATCTTCTTTGGTCTTTGCCAAGAATTCTAATGGACATACGCTCTGTAGCTTGGTCCTATAGGATCATCTCATAGGGCGGTCTCTAGCAAACCAGCTTATTTAAACTGCACTCTATAAACTCAAGTGTGTGTCTCTCCCAGTATGAGCTGGTTGAGAATGGACTCTGATGGACTCAACTCTGCAGGCCAAATAGCAGATAGAAAGGTTTGGAAAGTGTGAGGGCCGTGTTGCCTTGACCAGCAGTAAGCACCTGACACCAGCCAGTGTCACGTTGTCGTCTGGGTCTTGGTTCCAGTCAGCTAGGAGTCACGGAATTAGACTTCCAGATACAAGTCTGGACTCGCACTCAGTACTTCCACTGCATGAAACTGCAGAATGGTGAAGCAGCAGCAAGTTCCACAGCTGAAATGCAGATGCGGTGGAGCTTGGACTCATACTCAGTACTTCCGCTGCATGAAACTGCAGAATGGTGAAGCAGCAGCAAGTTCCACAGCTGAAATGCAGATGCGGTGGAGCTTGGACTTACACTCAGTACTTCCGCTGCATGAAACTGCACAACGGTGCAGCAGCAGCAGGTTCCACAGCTGAAATGCCGATGCGGCGGAGCTTGTGGTCGGAATGTGCAGTGTCCCCCAGGGGCTCACGTGTTTGAACACCTGCTGCTAGCAGGCCCCAGGAAGCTGCAGAGTGCCTGGCCACCAACCACATTCAATACTTTGCCTAAATGTCACATAGCACTCTGCCCACGGGAGGCTAAACACTACTTTTTAAAAAAATCTTCAAAAAATTAAAATATTAGTATGATTTTTAATTATGTGTCTGTCCACTCTAAAAGGATTAGGAAAATAGCAAGGAATGGTCAGACCAAGTCTGGACCAAACTTCAGCGGGACAAGCATTACACCCAGTAGCTCTGTGGTCCAGTGCTGGAGTCTGTGCAGTTATGATGGATGCTCCAAAAGGCTTGAGCAGCCCCAACCCTACAGCCTGGCTCTACTCCCTGCTTGCAGTGTTCCTTGGTGTCTCCACTGAAGCTTCAGCTTCTGTCTCACCGCTTCACATCGCTCCTGGGAGCTGCAGATGGATGAGGGACAATGAATTTCACAACTGTCTTAACTGCCCAGTAAGCTGTATTAACCTAACATCTGGGAAATATGCATTTCTGATTTTTTATATTACTGACTGTACTACAAACAGAAACTAGCATTTAGTAGACAGAAACATGAAGGTTCAAACTATTGTAGTTTTATTTCTCAAGGTGGACCCAAACCCAGGAATATATCCTAGACATCAAATTTTATATAATTTTACTTTAAAACTATGCAAAATGCACCTGGATAATAAACATTACATCCTACATATCTCCATGTACACACTATTTTATTCCTGAAACACAATAATGGAAGCTACATCAGCCTTTTCCATAATCACATCATGATTACAGGAACCATAGTGAATTTTTTTATTTTTGTTTTCTTTCATGGAAGTTTGGTTTTTGCTAGTACTGTGGACTAAACCTGGGGCCTGTGCATATGAGGCAAGTACTCTACCACTGAACTACACTCTGAAGTTTTTATTTTTTTTTTCTTGGCAGGGCCTCCTTAGGTTGCCCAGGCTGACTTTGAACTTGAGGTCCTCTTGTGTCAGCCTGAGTATATGGGATTACAGTCCTGTGTTAGCAGGTCCAGTTGCACTGTTTGATGGGCTTCATTAATTGCCTTTCTCCTGAGTATCAAACTCCCTTTAAAGGCAGATGACCTAGCAGGGACAATCAACATAAGCTGTGTTGACATCTGAGGACTGTCAAGTACAGGAAACCTTAGAGAGAAGACTCAAGACCTGTGTACCCCTACGCACTGAGCAAACCACAGTCACGTACAGCCAGCTTGGCTTCAGTGGTTCTTGGCCATGCCTAGATGCCCAGAAGTGCTGCCCAACTTAACTGAAATCAGGGCTGGTTTAGCCTACCCAGTCCTGCTTCCAGGATTTAAACAAAGGCAAAGCAATGCTTGTGCGCCACTCTGAGAGGATTCTGGAGTTTCACTGTGGCCCTTGGTGTTTCACGATTGTGGGTCCCCAATGAGAAAGGGGCAGAGATTACCACGACTGGCTGATCAGACGTGGAAGTGAGCAGGTCAAACGGGGTTTGTGCACGTGCAGATTTAGCATCAGGTCTTTCAAACATCTATGTCTGAGCTAAGCACCTCTGCAAATAAAAGTGTGTAGCTACTGTTTCTACATCTACAGAGTAAGACAAAGACTCGTAACTCTGACGTCTAAAATATTTTAGAATGTATCAAGTGTGTGAGTACATGCCATGGTGTGCACGTGGAGGTCAGTTTGCCTTCACATGGCTCATGTCATCAGGATTGTGAGTCATCTTAGCAGCGCAAGACTTTTAAAGGCAATGTTGAATTCAGACTGCAGGTATGTCACTCATACACTTATATAATCAGAACAATCAAAATACTTCCACTTATTTGTTATAAGTCATGCAGAATTTCTAAGACTAAGATATTTCAAAATACTGAACCAAAAAGAACAAGTATGTTATTGTCCATTTTTTTTTTCTTAGAAACAATTGGTTTCAACCCAGCCTGTGGAAAGAACCAGCTTAACTTTTGACATTCCTTTGTAAAACCTCTGGACTTGAGAGGAATTGGCTCTCGTGGGCCCAACTTCTCCAGTTATAGTTAGCAATGCTGTTGGTCCTGCTCAACTACTTGGTGCTCACCTCCACCACAGAACTTGTACAGACTCCCAAGATGAACACTGCCCAGGGCAGAGTTTTAGTCTGGTCCAGAAATCAGATAAATTTAAGAGTTCCACAGAGATTGCCAAACTCGAGAACTGGGCCCTACGACAGACACTCGAGTCAAGGAACCGCACGCACACACATGAGATAAACAGAATGGCTAAGACTAAAAGGATCTCTGACAGTCCCACTTTCTTTTTTTTTTTTTTAAATATTTTTTTGTGGTTTATTTAACTTTATTTTATGTGCATTGGTGTGAAGGTGTCAGATCCCCTGAAACTGGATTTTCAGAAAGTTGTGAGCTGCCATGTGGGTGCTGGGAATGGACCCCAGGCCCACTGGAAGAGCAGTCAGTGCTCTTAACTGTTGAGCCCTCTCTCCAGCCCCTGACGGTCCCGCTTCCTACACGACCTCCCACACTCCTGAGATTAGTGGTTCTCAAGGTTTAATGGACAAGGCCCTGCAGGGTTCACTTTTTGAAGAGAGATTACCTGGCTTCGTAGCAAGAAACACTGACTCTGGGTCTGGGGCAAGGGCAAGAATGTCTCTTGACAAATGCCCAGGCGATTCCAACACACAGGTTTCTGAGCACTCTGAAAACAAGAGCTCTGGATCATGAATCCATGGACCAAGTCCCCGGCATTTCCTTTTCGTATGAATCTTCAAAGACGATTTGCTCAGGTATTAACCATCCAGCTTCCTCTCAACAGGTTTGCCACCAAGAAAACTGCCAGCTCCCGGAACAGACCGTACATAGGATTAGCTCCGGTTTCACCTACTCGAAAACAAAACAGAACCAAGCCCAACAGTGTATTTTCTGCACTCAGGATTCCAATACATTTTATTTTGCAGACCACTGGTGTGTATTTTCGAGGACAAACATCAGATAGATTCCTACAGTGTCCAATTACTGTCCTTCTGCAACAGCTTCCTCTGCTCGGGGCCACACTTCGGCGGCTCCGGTTCCAGCTCCAGGTGGGTACAGGAGGTCCCACAGCTCCTGAAGACAACCACGCTGCAGCCGCTTGCTTCCTCTCAGGGAATCCCATTTGCCCAGTGGCAGGTTCCTGGTTTTCTGTGCTGAGGAGTGAGGACGGGAGTTTTTCTCTACTGGAGACAGGAGCGTGGAGACCCAGTGCCTTGTGCTTAGTGATGGAGCCCAGCTGTCTCATAGGGTAAAGGTGAGGAAGCCCTGTTTCTAAGAAGCACAGATGACACCTTTGGAGACCGCCTATTTGTTCTAGAACTACAAAATTTAATTCAAGAAAATATAGGTCCCATGAAAGACTTAAAAGTTTTATAAAACTAAAATCTAGTTTTCCCCCAATAAATTGTACTTTAGGCAAAACCCTCCCAAATGCTTCTAAAATAATACTAAAAAGGGCATCTGATTATACAAGAGCAATTAAAAAAATTAAATATTTATTTGAATAACAACTTTTAAATTTGAGCTGCAATGTTGGCAATGCAGGTTGAAACACAGATCACAAAATGCGTGCACAAAAAAGTATGGGCGCAGAGACAAAATGATGCTAAGAATTAGGCTAACGAGCTGCTGATTTTAAACAAGAGGCCTGAAATCACCATACAAATATAAAATGTATTAAATGCTACCATCCACAGAACAGTCATTATTACTGATTATATTTAAAAATTATTTGCGAAGTAAATTAGATATTGAATTATAAATGAGTATTATACATGAACCCCCTATCGGAAGGCAATTCCTTGTCACACTATAGAACATCTAGTTACATTGCAAAAAGTATCCTTTTTCCTATTGGTAAGAACCATTAATGGTATTACTGCAAGTATCAGGAAAGCTTTTAAAAAAAATTCTTTTTTTAATTCTAAGTGCTTTCCATGCAGAGTAAACCTTACTGACTGAGTCTGAGTGAGCGGCTGGACAATGTCCTGGGTAGAAGACTCAGCTCTTCACAAACCAAAGACTCAAAGGACTCATGCGACCCTCTGACGACTGGGAGGCCACCACGTCACTGACCAATTCTGCCTTTCTAGAGTGTCAACTGAGACATTTATAGACACGAGAAGACACGGACTGCCAGGTGACACTGCTCTCAGTAATGTCTGGGGTGGGAAGCACCTTTAGAAAGCGCCTATGCGGCAAGAGATACGCATCTAAAGATTCAAAATGAATCAACAGTATTGGATAACAATATCATTCTCAACTCAGAAGCTGCCTCGAGGTTGGGTGCATCTTCAGTTAATGTAATAGGAAAAGAAGGCCATGGATTTCTTTTTATTAATTGCATCCACTCACAAACCGACCTAGGGTCACCAGATGTGTAGACACAATGAGATTTTTGTTGTTCTTATTGAGTCTTTAATCAAAGTGATGATAAAGGAAATAGATCTATTTAAAAACAAAATCCAATAGCTATCTCTGTCTAGATTAGGAGGTGGCACCAGGTGTGGGATTCACGTTTTGCGTGGCTACTTGAGGTGCGACTTCAATAATCCGAGGTTTGTCGATGATTCTGGCTGTGCGGTTGCCCTTCTCTACAATCCCAATAATCCATGCTTGGTGGCCTTCGCCATATTTGGGGGACTTTATTTCTGCACAGAACCGAGCTGCTTGCTCACGTGGTAAACAGATGAGCAGGCCTCCTGGCAAAGAAAGAGCAGAGGTTACTATCTGTATGGTGCTGGGAAGGAGGGGGATCTCTGTGTTTCCACCAGAGCTGATTTACACTGAGGTCATGCTCTACTCTGGAGATAAGGGAAGTGATCTGTTTGTAAACTCCTGTCACATTCACACACTAATCTCAAACTGAAAATGGCCTGCCTGATCGCAGACAGCAACATGGAAACACAAGCAAAAGAGAAAGGTGTGCGTGCGGGGCCAGAAGCACACAGGGCAGTGACCTACTCCACACTAGGAGATACAACAAAAAGGGCTCCTTTCACCCGGCATGGACTCCTCATCTCACCGGGAATGGTGCTTTTAAACTTAAAATTCATGAGAAAGTTTTTCCTGGAAGGTGCTAGTCTTAACTTTCTGCAAAACACAAAGATACCAATTTTCCTTCCTGTTTCTAACAGCCAGGCCAGAAAGTGTGAGTTTCTAAGTGTCCAGGGAAAAACTTTCAGAAAATGAGGAACCAAATTCAATGATTGTGGTCACTAACTCACACAACGCTCACTTGGTACCCACGAGGTGGCAGAAACTGCTCCAGCCAGAGAGCAGCTAAAGGGGTTCTAACTACTTCTAGAAATACTCTGCTTAGAGCAGCAAGCTGAGAATGTGAAGTTCTGGTCGATGGCTCCATGGTCTCCATCCCTGGCCTGATATCAGAGTCTGTCACGGACCCAGGCCTCTGTTGATCAGTTTCCTGGGAGTTGGGTCTAGGAACACGTGTAAAAATAGTTATAGAGAAAATGAAATGGAAATGAGAAACACTGGAGAAGACAAAAAAGGAGGTAAAGAAAACATAGAGGGTAAAGGAAGAAAGAGAAAATTATGGCAAAAAGGAAGTAACACTCTCAAGTGGTACATACACCCTGAAGGACAGTCCACACACCGTGAAGGACAGTACATACACTGAAGCACAGTACATGCATACACCATGGAGCACAGTACATACACTATGCCACCCTTTTTAAAAGATATTATTTTTATTTAATTATGCCTAGGCTCATGAGTGAGGGTGTCCATTAGCTCCCCAGAGCTGAAATTCCAGGCAGCTGTGAGCTGGCAGATGTGAGTACTGGAAACTCTCTGCAAGAGCAATATATGCTGTTGACTTTTGGGCCATCTCTCCAGCCCCACTATCCCACTCTTCAACTGCGTATGTTTAAAACTTGATCTCAGTAACAGCTTGGGCTGGTCATCCTCCTGCCTCTGTCCCCTGGGCACAAGGATTACAATCATGAGCAAGACACACCTGGCTACATTTTTGGACACAGACAGGGCTTTGCTATGTTGTATAGATTAGCCTCAGACTTGTAACCACCCTGACTCTGCTTTCCAAGTAATAGGCAACACCGTGATGTTCTGCTAAGACATCAAGTTAAAATGCCTTTCAAGAAAAAAAAAAAAAGCAGACTGTTTAAATTTATCTATGGTTGTTAAGAGTTTAAGGAGTTAGATATGACCTATCTTTCCTGAGCTCCCATCATCCATACCAATCATGTATCAAAAAGGGGAACACACTTACACAGGACTCAAAACAGCATCACACTGGAGGGCACCACAAACCCACAGCAGGGAGAGGCATGGCTGTCATACCTGACTTCATACAAAGTGGGGACTCACAGGTGATCAAGGCTTTCCTAACTTGATTAGGGAACAGAAGCCTGTACCTGATGTCTCCGGGCAGGTGCCGTGCATGAGGCCGAACATGTTCCCGCAGGCTTTGCTCACAGCTGCCATCTTGGCCAGCACCGGAAGGTTGTGAATCACAAATGACACCTCGTTCCTCTGCTGCTTGGCCAGGTTCTGTGCGTGGCCCAGAATCCCGAAGCCTGTGATGTCAGTGGCCGCATGAGCATTGAATGTGTGCATAAGGCCTGCAGCTGAGAGAAGCAGAGGAGTGAGTGAGGAAAACTCACCTTTCCCCACTCACAGTCTCTTTTCAGAGAGACGGCACACAGCGGTTAGAAAGTCAACAGAGACCAGGGTCAAATGCTGGAGGCTGAGGTCTTCCTGCAGTGTAAACCACTCAGCCACATGGAACCTAGGAGCAGTTCCATCAGCCAATGTCCTAGTTATCAAAGAGCTGTAGAGAGGAAATCTGTCAAAACAACCCACAACCTACTAACATGTTTAAAGAATGTCTGACTTGGGCTGGAGAGATGGCTCAGAGGTTAAGAGCACTGCCTGCTCTTCCAAAGGTCCTGAGTTCAATTCCCAGCAACCACATGGAGGCTCACAACCATCTGTAATGGGGTCTGGTGCCTTCTTCTGGCCTGCAGGCACACACACAGACAGAATATTGTATACAAAATAAATAAATATTTTAAAAAAAAGAATGTCTGACTTAAACATTCTTACTATGGAGCTGTACATCTGCACTTGCAATGATCACTAGTTTAAGGCAACAACAGGAAGCCAAAGGGAAATAGTTAAAAGTCATGAGGGAATACTTAAAAGTACAAACTGAAGCTGTTTTGGGGTGGACAACTATGACTATGTATAATTTTCTTCTGTACTTTTTTTTGCTGTTGTTTTTAAGAAAGTCTAAAACTGACTTAATAATAAAAGTTCTGGGTAATCAGAAATGGCATAATTTGCAATGGCTATTTTTTATAGTTTTTTTTTAAAGAAAAACATGACAAAGATTTAAAAGATACTTTCAATTACAGTATTCATTCAGCCTTATCACTTAGAACAAGTTTTTTATAAAAAGATAATTTATGCTCTAAACAAATGAAGCACATAAGGAAAATATAACCGACACATTCCATAACGATCTTTACATTTTCATTTCAATATCAGTACATTTCAAAGCATTTGATACATAAACATGAAATCATGTACAACTGCTATGCTAGGTACCAAAATTTAGTTTAATTAGACCTTTCAGTAACATGAAATTCCAACTCTCAAGTGCTATTCAAACAGTCTTTTAGTAAGTGCGGTGTAGGTGTCAGAACCGGCATGGTTGGAAGGTTGTCTCTTTCCCTTTACACGGCAAACTGTTTCCCTCATAAGGGAAGGGCCAAATCAAACATTTTGCAGAATTGTAACAGTATTTTCTAAAACAATCTGCACTAGTGAGAGATTTATTACAGTAGGACAACAGGTAGAAATCTCCCAAAGCAAAGACACTAAGGTGTCCTCTGCCTTTCATGAAGTCCCACGGCACACATACCCATATTCATACAGGTACGGGGGTGGGGGGGGCGGCAGTGCATAAAAAACTAAAAACAATGCTTAGGGGTTTTAAAGGAGCCACAAGAAGTACCCCCTCTTAATTATATTAATATAATTAATAATTAATTAAAATCAATGCAATTCTATTTATATTAGAAAATAATAATAATTTTTAAAATATTTAACTGGTGTGAACACCAATAAAACAGTGTAAGATGATTAAAGTAGGGGTTGGAGAGACAGCTCAGCATGTATGAGACAACAAGTATGGTTCCCAGCACCTATGGCAAGAGGTTCACAAACTCTTGTAACTCCAGCTCTAGGGGCCTTCAAGGGCATCTGCACACATGTGTTCATACATACAGATAAAGACACATTAAAAAAATTAAAAAGTAAAAAAATAACCTGGTATGGGGAAACACACCTGTTATTTCAGTACTCAGGAGACAGAGGCAGGAGGATTAAAAGTTAAGGTTGGTGGAAGCCAGTCCAGGCCACATGAGACTGTCTCAAAAAACAAAACAAAACTAAAAAAATCATAAGCAAATGAGTGATTTATTTCACACTGAACATTTAATTAATTTGAAGTTAAAAAAAGGTGCCCCTCCCCCAACACTTTAAGTTACATCTCTGGAGATACATTGTTAAAAGAATCTGAGGAAGGAGGGGCACAGTGAGCATATCTTTAATACCAGCACTGAGGAGACAGAGGAAGGCTGACCTCTGGGAGTAAAAGGTTAGTCAAGGCTATATAGTGATACTTGATACTTTGTCTCAAAAAAGAAAAAAAAATGGGGACAACTGATAGTCCATAGTGTCTTTGGGATGCGCTATAATTCCCTAGTGATGATTGACTCTTACCACAAAAAAACAGCTATAAACTCTCATGGCTATTATCACAACTACAATGTAACAAGTGATTTGCTTAGAATCCCAGTTATAATTTGATCAAAGTGTGTGGGGGAATGTGGGGGATGTCCGACAGTATACACTGTACACATCACTAATGGAAACACTAAATCAGAAGCGTGAAAATCTGATCAAGAGGAGATCTGCTGCCATATAATGCCCTGGCTATGTGTATATATGTGTATATACATGCATACACACATACAAACTCCGATCCAGTTTCAAAAGTGCTCATGAGCAGCTGGGACATTTTTATGTTACCTGGCCAGTAAGTCTAAGTACAGACACCTGAAATGGGAAAGTTCGGATTATCAGTTAATCATACAAATGACAAACTGAGTACATCTGAACTCAGTTTTCAATTGCCTTGTCCTTCTTGTAATGAATAATTAGCTTTAGAATAGTCTTTCCTAGGGCTAGAGAGATGGCTTAGAAGTTAAGAGTGCTGGACTGTTCTTCCAGAGGCCCTGAGTTCAATTCCCAGCAATTACAAAGTAGCTAACAACCATCTATAATGAGATCTGGTGCCCTCTTTTGGCATGCAGAAATAACACTGTATACATAATGAATAAAATCTTTAAAAAGAAAAATAAGTCTTTCCTTGGCATATTTTGAAGCCTGGAGGCAAAATCTGCTCAGCCAGGGTAATTTTACTATACCCCTTACTTAAAGATTTTGTCTATGGTCAAAGAAGCTATTTTACCACAACTAAAGCAATAGCCAGGGCCAGGGAGAAAGCACAGTCAGTGAAGTACAAACTCAAGTCCCAGAATTCAAGTAAAAACCCTGTGCCTGGTGCCATATGCTGGGGAGATGGAGACAGGTGGATATATAGGGTTTGCTGCATAGCCAGCCTAGCCTAATGGGTGAGCTCAGGTCATGAGACCCTGTCTCAAAATAAAAGGTGAAGGGCACTTAAAGTTGATCTCTGGCCTCTAGACAAACATGCACACACTTGCATGCACTTACCTATTTAAATACATAAATATATGTGAAAGAAAAAGTAACATTTGACATTTGTACAGTATCCTGGTTTATCATATTTTATGTAATTGCAAAAAAAACCTACACAATAAGGTTGTTTAAAACTCTCCATTCAAGTAAAACAGGTGACTATCTCTTTAACTAGTTTAAGGTCATGTGCTAAATTTGAAGTGACGTGATTAGAATGAGTAATGGCCACCATAGGCCCATATATTTGAATATTTGGTCACCAGTAGATGGAACTGTTTGGGAAGGATTAGGAAGTGTGGCCTTGTTGGAGGAGGTGTGTCACTGGGACCAGGCTTTGAGGTTTCAAAAGTCTATGCCATTCCCAGTTAGCTCTGGCTCACTGCCTCCTGCTTGTGAATAGAGACATAAGCAAGTGTTCAGCTACTGCTGTAGCACCATGTTCCCTGCCATGCTATGAAACAGACTCACCCCTTGAAACTACAAGCCTCTAATACCCTTTCTTCTGTAAGTTGCCTTGGTCATGGAATTTATTTCATAACAGCCACAGAAAAATTAAGAGTTCATTTCACAACTGAAAGGGCAAACTGTTTCTTCTGCAGTTTTAAATTAAAAATAACTACATGTATGTCCACATGAGAAGGGCTCTTGGAAGTCAATCCCCCAATAGAATAGCAACTGAACTCTGATCTTCTGCAAGAGCAGCTGGATCCCTTAACCACGGAGCCACCTCTCCAGCCCACCTACTGTTTTGTTGGTGGTGTGATGGAGAAGGGTTAACTGTCTATGTGTTACTTTCATTGGTTAATAAAGAAACTGCCTTGGCCTTTTTGATAGGCCAGCCCTTAGGTGGGTGGAGTAGACAGAACAGAATTGTGGGAGAAAGAAAGCAGAGGCAGTCAGTTGCCATGACTCTCCTCTCTGAGACAGTCGCAGGTTAGAATCCTCCCGGTAAGCTATACAGATCATTAGAAATGGGTTAATCAAGATGTGAGAGTTAGCCAATAAGAGGCTTAAACTAATGGGCCAAGCAGTTTTTAAAAGAATACAGTTTCCGTGTAATTATTTCGGATAAAGCTAGCCGGGAGCCAGGTGGCGTGACACAGCCTGCCGCTCCTATTACAGAGTGGCGCCCAATATGGCCTTTAATTTACTAAGCAATATCGGTAGGACTAAAGCCTTGGCTTTGACAGTTAGATCCAGCCCATTCCTTAGCTTTCCAGCATCATGGCTGAGATACCAGCCAGAGCTGTGTTCACTGCCACAACTCTATGGCGTTTCAAGGTCCTTGCCAGCAAGCAAGCTGTAGTATTCTCCTCACAGACCACACTCAGTCAGCCGGCCTGCCTGAAAGAGTCAGAGTTTGCCCTGGCAGGATGGCCCAGAAAGCCGGCTTTTTAAAACAGCGCAGCTTTTTTTCCTGCTATGGTTTTCATCAATACTATTTATCAGCTTTTCATCAATACTATTTAAGTATTTCGTGGCAGGACCTCTTAAAAGAACTGCAAGGTTTTGCAGCTAAAGCTGAGTCAGGAAGCCTCTCTTAGATGAGAGCACTTGCTTGTGTCTAGCAAGCAGAGTAGACCCGAGAAATTGCTGCCACCAAGAAAACATGCCTTAGTCTATTCTTTCCCAAACTTTCTCAAGCTTGTTGTAGATTCAGTTATCCATGTGGGCGCCATATGTAACAAGAGGGGGCCGACTTGTTGGGGTATCTGTCCCACCCAGTACCCCACAACCGACAAGCCCCAAAGGAAAATCACACACAGGACTCCATAAGATTATAAACTGATTGGCCCATTAGCTCAGGTTTCTTGTTAACTCTTATAGCTTATATTAACCCATTATTCTCATCTATGTTAGCCATATGGCTTGGTACCTTTTCTCAGCTGGGCAGCTTACATCTTTCCTCTCCCGTGGTCTGGGCAGGAGTGACGGAGGGAGCTTCCTGTGTCCCAGAATACTCCTAGTCTCTTTGCTCCACCCCTACTTCCTGTCTGGCTTTCCTGCCTATACTGCCTGCCTGGCCAATCAGCGTTTTATTAAAATATGATTGACAGAATACAGACAATTCTCCCTCACCAGTGCTGTTTTTTGTTTGTTTGTTTTTCGGAGACAAGATTTCTGTGTGTAGGCCTGGCTGTCCTGGAACTCATTCTGTAGACAAGGCTGGCCTCACACTTTCGTACTGAGAACATGCTGTGTACAGGCTCTCCTCAATTTACAGGTTCAGTGTGATGTTACTTTCACTTTAAAAAGTTGCCAAGTATTAGGGAGATGTCATAAATGAGACTATAAATCAAACACCACCTGCCTATTGATTCCCAGTAGTAATCTACAGAACCAAAGCAGGCACCAAGAGAAGATGTTTAGTCACCAGCCATTCTCTCCCCCAGTCTAGGTTTCCTTACTTTTCGTATGACTGGAGAGCATCGGGGGAACGGGAGACAGGGATGGGACACACACGACATGGACCATCGTGAGTTAAGACTGGATGTAGGCAACTACACCTTACCTGTCCTGTTGAGCCGTGCCATGTTCATCATCGCTTCTTGATATGCCAATTCTACATCTTCTTGGGTGACCACGAGCTTAATTTTATTCCATTTTTCAGGCTAGCCATAGGAACACAGGTGAGAAAGAGAAAAGGAAAATGTGATTCATTTTTACTTGTTTTCTTAGTCATCTTCTGGGACTGGGGTGTGTGTAATATGTGTGCAGACCGCTAGTGATCAAACCCAGGGCCTCACACATGCTCAGCACCCTGAGCTACACCTGAGTACTGGGAATCTTATTTACCTAGTGTGTGAAGACAGAAATGCTCTAACGCTGCTCTCAGTTGCTGAGCTCTGAGATTTCCTAGTGGCTATATCAAGCCAAGATAAATGGCCGATAAAGGATAAGTTTTTATTATTCTTTCCCAACTACTTCTCAAGATGGTTGTTATAGAAATTAAACCCACCATGATATATGAGGGGAGAGCAAAACTTTAGTCATTGGAGCTTTCAACAACAACAAAACCCCAGAGCGACAGCTCTGTGGGATAACGCTCAGGAGAACCAGCCCTCTTCATTCTCCAGGGAAGAGCCACACATCTAAATGTTTTTAGTTACTAACAGTGTAAAGGCAACACTAGCATAGTCCATGACTGACATGTCAATAACTAGCCCATTTATATTATTTTGAATTCATGTCAATCCTGGGTTCTCTTCTCAGCACCCACTTGGTGACTATCAACTGTTCTAGAGGGACGCAGTGCCCTCTGCTGGTTCTGTGGGCACTGCATGTGTGTGGTGCAGACTTAAGTGTAGGCAAAACACTCATATACATAAAATATAAAAAATTAACGAATTTGAATTCATGTCCCAGAATTCTCATCCACATAATCTTATGCCTCAACATGGGCCTTAACTCCTTCAAACATTAGATTATTAAATTTTCATTTACAATGTGGCTAATCCATCTAAGGATTTTATTGATTAACTTTACAGGGGTAAAATTTAAAGTTTTCACTTCCCAAACCTTTCCCCAACTTAAAACAAAACTTTGAAACTAAAAAGCTCCTCTGAGAGCTAACTGTTCAGCTCACCTCCACCCTCACTCCTAAGCAGCTCATTACTTACAATATCCAGCCACTGGTGTACAGCAACTGCAACTTGTGTCCCCAGCGGTTTTGTCAGTACCAGCACATCCCCTGGTACTGCATTATCTGGCCTGAAGAAAAGAAAAAAAGAGCATGTTCTAGTCAAACTAACCAAGGAAACAAATGCAGTTTTAAAGAAAAAAGGGAAATTTTGCTAAAAAGCATTTTTGTACATTTTTGATGTGTGTATTTATGTGAATGAACGCACATGTGCATGAGTTGGGGAGAAACCAGAAGTCAGAAATTGATGTTATCTTCAATCTTTCATCACCTTGTTTTTTTGAAATCAGGTCTCTCGCTGAAACCAAGACTCACCATTGTGGCTACACTAGCTGGCTGGTGAGCCCCAGGGACCTGTCTGTTTCTGCCTTCCCCATGCTGGGGTCAGTGACCACTGCCAATATCAGCTTTTATGTGGCTGCTGGAAAAACTCAGGCCCTCATGCTGGCCCCACATGTGCCATCTGTCAGGGAAGGCCTCCAAGTAAGACGCAGGATGCTTAATGGGAATGTCTTCAGCTACTGGAGTAAAAGGAGTTTCCATAATTAAAAAACGGGGAAATGCCAGATGGTGGTGGCACATACCTTTAATCCTAGCATTTGGGAGGCAGTGAGTTTGAGGCCAGCCTGGTCTACAGGGTGAGTTTCAGGACAGCCAGGACTGTTACACAAAAAAATCCTGCCTTAAAAAACAAACAAACAGACAAAATGACAGCTTACAGAACGGGAAAAGATCTTCACTAACCAGACATTAGACAGAGGTCTGATCTCCGAATATACAAAGAACTCAAGAAACTGGACACCAAAAGAACACATAATCCAATAAAAAAATAGAGTACAGACCTAAACAGAGAACTCTCAACAGAGAAATCTAAAATGGCTGAAAGACACTTAAGGAAATGTTCAATATCCTTAGTCATCAGAGAAATGCAAATCAAAACAACGCTGAGATTCCATCTTACACCTGTAAGAATGGCCAAGATAAAAAACACTGATGACAACTTATGCTGGAGAGATTGTGGGGAAAAGGGAACACTTCTGCATTGCTGGTGGGAAAGCAAGCTGGTATGCGTTGGATATCAGTGTGGCGATTTCTAAGAAAATTAGGAAACAACCTTCCTCAAGACCCAATAATATACCACTTTTAGGTATATATCTGAAGGATGCTGAATTGTGCCACAAAGACATGTGCTCAGCTATGTTCATAGCAGCTTTGTTTGTCATAGCCAGAACCTCGATCTAATGCCCCTCGATTGAAGAATGGATAAAAAAAAGAGGGGGTACATTTACACAATGGAATACTACACAGCAGAAAAAAATAACGACAGCTTGAATTTTGAAGGAAAGTGGATGGAACTAGAAAATGTTATTGAGTGAGGTAACCCAGACACAGAAAGACAATCATCACATGTACTCACTCACAAGTGGTTTTTAAACATAAAGCAAAGAAAGCCAGTCTACAAACCACAATCCCAGAGAACTTAGACAACAATGTGGACACTAAGAGAGATTTACATAGATATAATCTACAAGGGAAGTAGAAAGTATAAAAAGACAAGATCTGAGTAAATTGGGAGCATGGGGACCTTGGTGGAGGATTGAAGGGGAGAGGCAGGGAGGGGAGCCGAGAAAAATGTAGAGCTCAATAAATATCAATTTAAAAAAACAAACAAACAAAAACCCCCGGTGAAATGTGACCAATGTGCCCAGCTTCACACCCAAGCAGAAGCTGGGCCCAGTGCTGCCCACTTGTCACGAGTTCCGTGGAAGATTATGGCAGGAAGATCCAAGCCCGCCTTACACAGCAGCCCTAAATAGCAACTGAGAGAAGAGGAGAGTGAGCAAGGGCTGGAGCTCAACAGCAAAGCCATTTCCTTCCACACACAAACAAAAGCCACCAAAGAGAATAGCAAAGATATCAGTCTGTTAATCCACTGTCAATCAGGATATGGAGAATCTGGTTTATTTGCTCACTGCCGTGGAGTGGAACCTGGTAGAGGCTTTATGAAGGGCAGGCTCTCAGCACTGCTGGCACATCCCACCTGACCCAGGGACAATGACCTGCTCTAAGGATGTTAGTTATGTTATCAAAAGAACCAAACATAACCAAAATGTCAGTAGCAAACACACAGAACTAGTAGAAAGTGTCCATGATGGAAACTTTGGGGACTCAGCACAGATCAGGGTCATGGTACTGAAAATTCTTCTTACATCTTTTAAGTTCTGACTCAGGTTAACATAAACATACTACTGACTCATCAAAAACTGAAGTAAGGGCGAGCAAGATGGCTCAGTGGGTACTTGCCACCAACTCTCAGGACCTGGGTTCAATCTGTAGGACTCGTGTAACAGGAGCCAATCAACTCCAGCAAGTTGTGTCCCATTCCCCCATAAACAAATAAACAAATAGTAAAATAAATGGAATTTCTACTAACTTCAAAAAATAGAACAGGGTGTCTTTTCTTACATGTTTTGATTGTGAGTCTAGTTTTTAACAGCTGAGCTACCTCTCCAGTCTGAGGGTGCCTTTTCTTAATATCAAAGATGGAAAGTGACCATCTGTGTTGAGATCCATCTCCAAAGAATGCAGAGAAATGCTCTCCCCACCCCAAAGAAAGCTACAAGATGTCCGACATCACCAGTCATCAAAGAAACACAAATCAAAAGCACAGTAGGACACCACCTATACTCCCTATGCTGGCTATGAGCAGAATGACATCACAGAACAACTTCCAGAGGGGATGTGGGGTATGTGCGTGCATACACAAAATAACAAAACTGCACCCGAAGCGTGTTCCTAGTAGGAGAAAACAACTTAGAACTCCAATCAATGAGCAGAATTGTGCTATATACAAAAAAGCTTATTAGGCCATCAAAATGCACTATGGAGTCAGGTGGTGGTGGTGCACACCTTTAATCCCAGTACTGGGAAGCAGAGGCAGGTGAATCTCTGTGAGTTCAAGCCCAGGCTGGTCTACAAAGCAAGTTCCAGGACAGCCAAGGCTACATGGAGAAACACTGTCTGGGAAAACAAATCAACAAAAAAAACTATATATATATAGATGTTCTACAGAGTATGGTTCCAGAGCAGGCGAATCCTCAGACAGGCTGGGTGCTGAGGGATGACGGCTGCTCAAGCCCTGTACTCACAAAGCCCATCTTAAATGCTGACATGGAGGCAGAGCTCAGTGCTGGAGGACTTGCTTAGCAGGCACAAGAAGCTGTGTTTAATCCCAAGTACAATAAACAAAACCAAACCAGAAAAGATGTCAAGGCAGCACTTACCTGCAATTCCTGTACTGAGGAGGCTGAGGCAGGAGGATCATGAGTTTAAGGCCAGTATGAGAAGCAGAATGGCACCCTGTCTCAAAAAGCCAAACCAAAAAAATAGACAAATAAAATGCTAAATAACGTGGTATATATTTTTGTTAAGTGAAATTTACAAGGTCTAAAATTGCTGAAAAATAGTATCAAAGTTCCAATATATGCTACATAATCTATGAATATAAAAGTACTCTATGTTAATATACTAAATGAGACCAACCAAGATATATATGAAAGACTAGCTGTTTAAGGGACCCTAGTGATTCTAGACTCTGGACGGGCCAAAACTCACTAAACTGCACACTTTGACCGTGGCGTTGTGCAGCAAGTGAATGACACATTACTGTATTCTAAGAACGAGAGAACGAGAGAAAGACAGGTTCTGACATAAAGGCCAACTTACATGATAAATTCATTGGGCTGGCAGACAGTTGTGGCGACTCCTCCCAGAACAATCCAGGGGTTTAACACTGTTTGACCACCCGTTACAGAGGTTCCCGCTTCCTCTGCGGCATCTTTAAAACCCTGTATAATTAGCGGTATCACTTTATCCCTTTCCTAGGGTTAAAAAGGACACAGATAAAAAGTCATGCAATTCTGTTCAAAACTTAGTAAGATGGCTCTACATCTGTAGTTATAAAGATTAAAAAAAAAAAAAAAAAAACCCCAGCGAACCAAAAGCTGACAGACAGGGTAGGGTACAATAAAGCGAGGGAGCGTTTCTAGCGATCAGCATGTTATCAGATGCTGGAAGGTGCTATGGGTACAGAGCAAATGGAGCAGGTAAGAGGAGGGAGCATAATGCCATTTACCCACAGGCCTGGCCCACAGACTGACAGCATTAGAATTCAGCTCTCGGCCAGTCCTGAAGAACACTAGACAAGCTAACTACACGCACACAGCCCCGCTTTCAAAGAGGCTTATGTTTGGCGAGGAACTATGAAGCAACATCCTCAGCAAAACCCTTGTCAGGACAACTAGCTACTACTGGTCAAAGCACACTCTGCTAGGCTATTAAAAAAAAAAAAAAAAGCAACAGAAAACTGGGGTTATCAGTAAATCATGACAAACTGGTTTGGGGGGGCATATGGAAAGAGAATGGAAATAAAAACACATCTTGCCAAAAATAACCTAAGTAATGGGGCTGCGGAGATGGCTCAATAGTTCAGAGCATGACTTCTCTTGCAGAGGACCTGAGTGTGGTTCCCAGCACCCACATGGCAGTTCACAACTATCTAACTACAATTCTAGACACATACATGGTATACTTACATACATGCTGGCAAATGCTCATGCACATAAAATAAAAATAAGTAAAAATAACCTAAACAGGAATCTACCCCTGGTTCAAAGAACAGGTAAAAAGGACAGGCTACTGGGTGGTACGTGGGGGCCTTGGCCCGCAATAGAGACCACTTGCTATCTAAGAGCCCTCAGTTCTCAGCCAGCAAGGCAAGGCCAGATCCACAGGCCTGGCACTATTAGTATAGCCAAGCTTTATTAAGTCTTCCCTTCCACAAAAACATATCTAGCTTTCTGCCAAGAGAGTAAAGAAGGAAGTGGAAGAAAAAGAGGTTAGATACTCTTATTTCAATTTACAGGTAAATGTCCCAAAGTGGAGAGCTGCAATACTCGAGGCCATGTTTGTAAACGTAAAGTGAAATCAAACCAATACCAGCGAGTGACCCTCCGACTTACCCTGTCAGTCATCTTATTGCTGACTCCAAGGAGCATCAGCATATTGTCACACTCCGTGACGCCCATTGCATAGAGGTCACTGAGGACATTAGCACATGCTATCCTGCCCTAGGAAGAGAGCAGAGACGTGAGACAGCAGTCAGGATTTTCCATCTGTAGAAGAAAGATGCAGTCTACAAAACAGTGGCCTCCAGGAACTTGGGGCTTTCCAGGAAGGGCAGCTCCAGGACAGGACGCTCAGCGGTTACCTTCACTTAACTGTCCGGCCACCCACTCACCCAGCAGAACACAGAATTCGCACTCTTCCTCACACTACATTTCAGAGCCCTGGCTGATGATGGGGGGGGAGGACAGGAAGAGGCGCAGGAGCACGGATGGTCCTCCTGAGACCAGAGAACAAGAGGACTGACTCAGTCACCTAAAGGTGACTTGCAAACCCACACGCAGCAAACCACAAGGAAGGGCTGCCTTGGCTATCATAAAACAGGAGATGGGTTTTAGGATTGGATTAAGAAACCTTTGCAGTTTCTTTTACAAACTATAAGAAATAAAGATGAAAATAATCTTGTTTGAGAAACAAAAATAAGAGAAAGAAACATACAGGTTTAAAGTCAGATTGAAAAAAAGCATTTCCCAGTAAATCCTATTGCTTTATGAGGAATTTAACAATATCTAATAGGAATGTGGCAATACGGACTCTATTGCTCTAGAAGACTTCTTAAACACTGTTGCCATTCTCTAACTTTTTTTTTTAACAGGCAATAAAGAGAAAAATAACAAGGTTTCCTTCTGACATAAGGATAACCAACACTCTGCAGAGGCTGTTTATGTTCTTATGGGTTCCAGGCACACCTGCAGCCTTCTGCAGACACACTGTCAACCTCAGCAAGCCTTGCCAACAAGGAGCCAAGAGGTGGTGTCATGGGCCACGGGGCAGACATGTACTGGCTGTTCTTGCACGCTTTTAAGAGATGCTAGGAAGGATGGATTCTGGTAGCTTTGCCACTGGAGGGACACAGAGGTGCGCAGCTTTACAGGGAATATACTTCCTAACAACCTGTTTACGAACACTGTACTCAAGAGGGAATTGTCCCCATTTTCTTATCCCATGGCCTGATTTCCTACATGTAAAGTTTGATCCCTGTGTCCTTGCCACCCAGGAAGGACACCCAGCATTTTAAACAGGTGGAATATTCCCATTTATTCATTGGCTTCTCTTGGGTGGTAGAGAAGTGGGGCTAGAGAATAAGCAGAATAAAAGGCTGCTTGCTGGCTGTAAGCACTTAACAAATGCCTGGAAAATGTGTCTACACGGTAGCTAGAGCTTCGTGTGTGTGCACATGCCGTGTCTTCCTCTCTGCCTTATTTTTCAAGACAGAGTCTCTTACTGAACCTGGTTCTCAACAATTCAGCTAGCCTGGACGGCCAGCAAGACCCAAAAGCCCACTTGTTTGCTTCTTGGCGTAAGGACTAGAGGTACGTGTTGTCATAAACAGCTTCTTAAATAGGTGCTGGGGTCTTCACACTTACATGAGTGAAGCCATCTCCCCTGCCCAATAGTTAGAACTTTAATTCAGTGGTCTGCTAGATCACAGTGTGGCATAAAATATAGTGGTAAGTAGGCATGCAAGTGGCAATAAATTTACCCTAACATTTATAAGAATAAAAGTTCAAGAAATCCAATTGTTAGTAAGCCAGGCATGGTAGGAGTCTGAGGCTCTACAAAGAGTTCTAAGACAGTCAGGCTACATAGAGAAATGCTGGTGTATGTGTGTGTTTTGGGGGGAGATGAAAGTCCAATTGTGATAAAATTTACAAGTTCCTTTTTTTGGGAGGAAACATTAAAAATCAATGTTATTACAAAGTATAGCAACATTTCCAGCCAAAAACCCAGGAACAGCAAACTTTATAAACGTCAGAAAGCCAGGTACAAGGAAAGAGCTCAGAGACCAATCACTAGCACTGTCTCAGAACCACAGCTGCTGAGTGCATGCACCTTCAGGCATAAAAGCAGCAGAGATGTCCCTGCTCTACCTGATGCATGTAAGTGTGAGAGGAGACATGTCAGCCTGCCATGACAGCAGGAATCAGGGGAGGGTAATATAACTGAGATACAGCAAAAGTGGAAAAACACAACAAACACAAAACTCAAACCCAAAAGCACATACAAAACCCAGCCAAAATCAAAACCAAATGCATAAAATAGTTCCAATTACAAAACTACACAAGCCCAAACTTACCATCATGTAGGGGTCGTCGACAATTGGATAAATGTAATCTGTGGTTTGAACCAAGGAAAGCCCGCCATGTCTCAAAGGAATGACGCAAGTATCCATCCCAATGCCTGGGACATGGACGTTGCCAGCAACCAAAAATATAAGGAGAAAAGAAAAGCATTTAATCTTGTATGAGCAACATTTTGCAGGAAGATTTCTACAATAAGACAGCAAACTCCGCACTGCCAACTAAACTATGTATGTGCCATCAAGTAGCATAACTGAAGTAAATGTAGAACATGACCAGCATAGGATAGGAAACATGAACAAAACTGTTAAGTACCCAAGATGTAATACAACATAAAATCTGAACCTTACTGAGGCCTTGGACATTTTGTTTTCCTGTATTATTTTATATTCCTGAATCATTTGATGGATGCCTTTTTCTCCCCCTTTTCTTTGTTGTTATTCATGATAAGAGTCTCTTTATGTAGCTCTGGCTAGCCTAGATTCATGTAGATCAGGCTAGCTTCAAACTTGCAGAGATCAGACTGCCTCTGTCTCCCAAGTGCTGGGAATAAAGGCATGTGCCACCACACCTGGCTAACACAACTTCTTTTAAGATGACAACAATACAAATGGAGTTGTTATTTTACTGATAGTTATTTTGAAATATTAATTACCTAGATGTTGTTATAACATACTAGATATTGTTCTAGTTTCCCAAAAGTATTTGTACTATATTTCCATATAGAAAATGTCAGTTAGTATATAATATAAATACAATACATTTAGCCTAAATGAAATGGTAAAGGACAAAGCAGGAATTCAAAGTTTCCAACCAAGTGTGTTATAAATACCAGTACCTGTATAATTCAAGTATTTTAGTGTCTCCAAAGCACTTTTTTTCTCTCTACAGCATATTTTTGTATGTGCACAAGTAAGCATCCAGAGGCAGAGGACAACATCTGGTTTCTTCCTCAATCTTACTCTCTATCTTGCTTCTTTTTTTTTAAAATATTTATTTATTTTATCATTATGTATACAACATTCTGTCTGTATGTATGCCTATAGACCAGAAGAGGGCACCAGATCTCATTACAGATGGTTGTGAGTCACCATGTGGTTGCTGGGAATTGAACTCAGGACCTTTGGAAGAGCAGGCAATGCTCTTAACCACTGAGCCATCTCTCCAGCCCTCTATCTTGCTTCTTGAGACAAGATCTCCCAACGAACCTAGACATAACCAACTCAGCTTCAGCTAGGATGGCTGGCCAGTGAGCCTGTCCTATCTCTTTTAGATAACATGGTACTTAGTAGATACAAATAATTTGATGCTGGAAAAATCTTTTGGAAACTCGGGATCTTATTAAAAAGACAGCCAGCCCTAGGTTATGACTGACAATGTGCTGGTTATGTTTTCTGCCAACATGACACAATCTAGACATCCCTGGGAAGAGATAAACTTAGTTAAGGAATTACCTTCATCGGACTGGCCTAATAGGCATGCCTGAGGGGCATTTTCTTGATCGCTAACTGATTGATATAGGAGGGCCCAGTCCACTGTGGGTAGTGCCATTCCTGAGGCAGTGGCCCAGGGTGCTTAAAAAAGCTAGCTGAGCACGCCAGCACACAGTACTCCTCCCGCTGGGCATTCCGTGGTGAAGAACTGTAACCTGAAAGCCAAACACCCTTTCTTCTCCAAGCTGCTTTGGACATGGTGTTCATCATGGCAACAGGAAAGCACACTAGGACCACATCCTTTTTCCATAAGAGACAAACAGTAATCAGTGTAAGCTTCTACTCTACTGTTATGCCACCAAAGCAGCCATAGACAGTATGTTCACACATGAGGGAGGCTGCATTCCAGGGTAGTTTTATTATAAACACATGCCAGGTCAGATTTGTACCTGGGGCCACAATGCATAAACACTAATATAAAGGGGAGACCTGGGTAAGCTGGATCAGAGCTCAGACTGGACAAGCTGAGAGAAGCACGTGGAGCAGGAGGAAACTTGAGTGTAGCTGACGGCAAGAGCTCAGGGTGCCATCCTGGACTGTGGATGGTAATTAAGTTGACAATATATGTAGGTAGGGTCAGGACATACATGACTGACAAGAGGAGACGAACCTCTACGGAGAGGATGCAGACTTCCAGGCATATTATCAATGGGGCTTCATCACAAAAAGGGAGTTAGGAAAGTATCTATGGGAGGCTGGGGCTATAGCTGAGAAGCAGAGTAGGCCCGTCTAGCAGTCTCACAGCCTGGGTTTGATGGCACACACACCTTGCTGAAACTGTAAAGAATGGGTAAGTCTGAGATGGGTCTTGAAAAACTAGAGCTTTAAATTGAGAGCCAGGGATAGTTCAGGTAGAGGACCAGGGGTCCTGGTCCTGGTCAGGTTAAATGCAAGACTGAGAAGTTCAGAACAAGCTATGGGAAATTCTAGGCCCTCTCAAAAAACTGAAACCCTGTATCAAGAAACGGAATACACTCATCACACTGTAGTACCAATAGCACATGCTTGACAGTCGTCTCTCCAGTTCTTAACATCCCTTTATTTAGCGTGCTGGCTAATTTTATGTGAACTCTACACAAGCTAAAGTCATCTGAGAGGAGGGAACCTCAACTAAGAAAATGCCTCCGCAATGGGAAAGTTGGCCCCACACCTCACCCTGCACGCCGGAGAGCTGGCCCTGACCCTTGCCTGAGGTAGGAAGTCCTGGTGGAGGTCCAAACCCAGGGCCATGGTTTGGCCCATCCCAACATCTACCCCACCTATGACCTGCTGAAGCATGTGAAGGGACTGGTCCTGCAGAACCACAGCTGGAAGGTCTCCACGTGTGGGGAAACAGCAGGATATCTAAAGTTAAAGCACTGATGGTGTAGCAGAAGCCAGAGGCCTTGAACCAGACCAACAAACCATTGCAAGCAAAGGGTATACTGTGTGACATACCACAGCTCTCAGCGCCACTATGACAAATGACTATATTATGATGGAGAGGTGGGAAAAAACAGAGGAGCAAAATTTTTTGCTGTTATGTTTCTTTTTGTTTTTTTTTTTTGGGGGGGGGGCTACAAGGGTGAAGCCGACATGGAAGAACTGGGAAATGAGTGGAATTGGGGTGCACGATGTGAACTTCCCAAAGAATCAAAATTTTAAAATTATGTTAAAAGAGAAAAAGAAAGAGCCTCTGTATCAGCTCCAGCCTGTTTTACATTATGCATAAATAAAATACACCCAAAGAACTGTCTTTCAGAGTCTAAAATTTCTTCTGAGCTCTGTGTTTGAGAAAGGGAATCCACTAATGATAGAGAATTTAGAAAAGAAAACATTGCCCTTGGCTCCAGGTGGCACTCTGGGCTCAATTTCAAATTCATGCTATCTTCTTGCCTTTGTGTGTATGTGTGCAGATGATGTGTATGGATACAGATGCATGTGTGTACATGCATGTGCAGGTCAGAGCACAACCTCAGGTGTCAGCTCTCAGACATGGTTCACCTTTTTTTGAGACAAAGTCACTGGACTGGGAATCAGCAAGTAGGCTAGGCTGGCTACAAGTCCCCGGGAACACACTTGCCTCTTCCGTCCCTGCCCTGGGAGTACAAGCACACTCCAATACTTTCTCTCTCTCCCCATCTATCCCTGGGATTACAAGCACACTCCAACTCTCTCTCTCTCTCTCTCTCTCTCTCTCTCTCTCTCTCTCTCACACACACACACACACACACACACACACACAGAGAGAGAGAGAGAGAGAGAGAGAGAGAGAGAGAGATTTTTAAAGACATGGGTTCAGAGAATCAAACTCACTGAGGTCCTCAAACTTTACCAACTGAATTATTTCCCCGGTCTTCTCTCCTGAGCCTGCAGTAGTCAGTAGTCTTGTGTGGTCCACCCTCAAATTTTCAACCCAAACATCCTGCAAAGGACGTCACTGTCCTTAAAGATGTTCTTAAAGCAACACCTTCAATAGGTCAATGAAGCCGCATGGCATTGTAGAGGTCATTTGAGAAAACAGAAAGGAGTTTCTGCTTATCCTCAGCTAACAGTAAAATTGTCTTACTGTAGTATGATGTCACACATATACTCTATAATTTAACAGCTGCCAACCACATGCCCTGATGCCTTCAAATTCTTTCTTTCAATAAGAGACATTACTAATTACACTGAACAAAGCAACACGGGGAAATCTGGTATTGACAGCTGACCACACTTCTGGGTGGCAGAGTATCAAAGAGATAGTACACATACCAAGCCGTGGCATAACAGCTCCCAGAAACTGCTCATCTTCTTGGAAGTGGTTCTCTTGTAAAGATTCCAGCAATTTCTGCAAGACATCTTGGGGCACTTTGCAGCCTGTGCCTTTCAGTTCAGTAAACCTGGTTAGGCGGAAGCTCTTGTCCAATTCATAACTTTCCGGGTTAAAGGACTCCCGAGTAGACATGGTTCTGGGGCCACACTCTTCACAGTTCAGCCCCTCCCCTCCCTCTCTTTTGATCCACTGGGCTTTCTACTTGGGATCCACCTAGGTGCCAGCAAAACACAAAAAGATATAGTTAAAAGACTCTGAACTGTATCTCAGGAATCAAGTGAATGAACACACATTAGGGAAGGTACGAGGACTGGAATTGCCTAGACCACAGGGAAATACTTGTTGGTCAAGCTGGAGATGATGCGCACCATCATGGATACCTACGGAAGACCTGAGGTGGGAGCGTGGTTAGAACGGGGAGCGTGGTTAGAACGGTGACTCCAACGGCAAGTTCATGTGACCCCTGCCACTTGGGCAGTTAACTCTCAAAAGTTCTTCTGGGTCCAGGGCTAAGAGAACTAGTATTCACTATGTCAGCCTGAAAGTCTATGCTTTAGAAACCAGCGGTGCTAGCTACAGTGATTTTTCTGGAAAACTTTTAGCTGTCTTTCTCTCGCCATCAGAAGCTCCAGAAAGTGGGACACAGATGCAGCCCATGGATTTTTTTATTTTTTCAACTGAGACAGAACCCTCTACATAGTTCTGACTGTCTTGGGATTCACTAGACTGACCTCACAGGGATGCGTCTGCCTTTGCTTCCCAAGTGCTGGGATTAAGGGATCCACCATAACACCTGGCAAAGTTCTTCAAGATCCTAAATCCTAATTTTAAAAACAAGTTTCCCTCCCAACCAGACAACACAGTGCCAAACTAATGGTCTTGAGAAGTCACTGAAGAACACTACTTTAAAAAAACAATACAAAAAAACCCAAGAAAATACCCAAACACTTCCAACGGCTGTAAAACACAGTAAAGTCTGTGTTCAAGAGGGTGCTTGCAAAGTTCTCTGATGCTTTTAGCATTCCTAGAAAGCAAACATCCCGCCCAACAAACCAGCACACATACCATTAACTAAACACACTACTGCTCATTACTAGCTCGTTACAAAATCAAACAGTATCACACAAAATCACTAGTATTCCGGGTTCTGGGTACCACTCACTGCGTTTCTAGCACACACTCTTCTGTTTGCAGCCTTCCATCCAAATCACAATTCCTAAGTGCTCCCGGGGTTTACAAACTTTCTGACCGATGCTTTATTGGGCATAGGATTACATACACCCCAAGTTTTAGGGCCGGTTTCTCCTATAAAATTTATGATTGAGAACATAATTCCCATTTACAGAGTTTTCCATCCCCCGGGAAGCATATCACTCATTTAAAATAAATTTCACAAAGCCCAAATGTGGGCAGTAATCCAAACGGTCGTTACAAACATAACGTGAGCCATGATTTCAGCGGGGAAACTACACAGACTTCGCACATCATTCAAAGAAGTCAAACTTCTCTTCAGGGCAGGGTGAGCCAAGCACGTTACCGAGATGGGAAAGTTGAGGCTAGTTTGGAAAAAAGTGCTAATTACAATTCAACTTCGAAGAAAGGTTTGGAACAGCAAACTCGCAAAACAGAGGGGGAGGAAAAGTTCTGTATTTAACCCTACCTCAACTCTACCAGGTACAAAACCGGAAAACTGCATTTCATAAAGAATCTTTTCTTCCTACCTCCAATCCTATGACCTCAAGGCAAAGGAAGGAAAGGGATTCTGTAAAGTCCCTTCCTTTTACACGTATTTCTCTACACTTTCTGCTTAGGAAAGTTTGAAGAAGAAAAAAAAACCTTACATCAAGGAAATTCAGTTCTAACTCTACAGGGCTTAACCTCAAAGAAAACTCGAGCTATTTGGGGGAGGATGAAATTGGGACGTGCTTTGGGGCGGGG